CCGATGCGGGACTCGATCCCGGGACTCCAAGATCATGACCTGAGCCGAAGGCAGTCGCTTAACCAACTGAGCCACCCAGGCGCCCCAAACACATACATAATCTTATGTGAAATTTTCTACTTTCCAATCAGTCTCCAGAAATTACATTACATACTTACTGTCATTTTTTTTTACAGGTTTATAGTGCTCAGAATTTGCCATATAGAAAAGCTCATTGCTTCCTAGTTTGACACTTTATGATAATACATTACTTCCAACTTTTCAAAATGCTTTTCAACTTTTCAAAATGCTTTCACAAAAAAGTGAAAAGAAACTGTTTCCCTGTGAGAATAACATCACCATTTGTATCCAGTTTAGGCACTAAGGAAGTTAAAGTAGAAATAATTTTTAAGTGTTCAAACCTGTTAACAGTTTAAGGTAAACATGACATAATTATTGGATCATCTCTTCAATCTTCAATATATGCAGTGTGCTCACTTAGTACTTTATAATTTCCTGTCTAGTTTTACTTGAAATCTTCCAAAGACTTGATTATCTCTGGGTTAGCGAGGACCTGAAATAGAATGATTGGCTTTACTTTATTGATCACTCTCTACACCACCTGGGTGCTTTGAGTAATAGACCTAACTTTTCTCTTGAAAGGTGTAACGTTTACAGGAGCAAGCAGTGTGTTTTATTTAAGCAGATTTAGTGTTTTCTATAATCTAAAAAGGATTATTTAAACCAATGAAATATCTGAAAGCTAATCATAAGAGTAAATAATAATTTTATTAATCACTTCTTATTCTTCAATCTCTTTCATGGCCTCTAACATACCTTATGTCATTTCACTCTCATAGCAGCCTATGGGTGGGTTCTATTCTTGTGCCCATTTTATGGATGAGGAACGGGCGCATGGGTGGTGCAGTCAGTTAAGCTTCTGATTCTTGGTTTCAGCTCAGGACATGATCTCAGGGTCATGAGACAGAGCCCCACGTCAGGCTCCACGCTGAGCAGCGGAGTATGCTTGAGATTCTATCTCCCTCTTCTTCTGCCCCTCCTGTTCATGCTCTTGCTCTCTCTCTCAAATAAATAAATAATTCTTTATAGATGAGGAAAATGGGGCACAGTGTCCTCCATACCCATAATGCAACTCGCCCAGGGTCAAATGGCAAAACACGGCACTTGTTTTGACTACAAATCTTATTTAATAGATGGAACTTTCGTCTTTGCAAATGATAAACATCTTCAAATATTTCAAGTAGTAAGATGCCTAAAAGAACATACGAGCAATGTAGGATTGTCCTGTGCATATCACAGATTTGGAGCACTGTTTCATGCAATCAGAAGGACTAAGTATATCATTTTAAACAAATTTGTTTGATTTCTTAGACCCTCAGTTTCTTTGTCTGCCATACTGTCAATATTAATATTGATCTGTGAGAATTAAAATGAACTAATAAATATGTAAGGACAGTAGCACCAGGCTTATTTTAGGTTCTTAATAAATATTAGTTGAATTTTCTCCTTCCTGTAGACTCAATATCTAAATTTATGATAATTTGATTCTCATACTACACTGAAAATTCACATCTAACTTATTACAACTTTTTATTTAAGAATCCTTGCTCTTACATTTGTCATGCTTAAGTACCCCATTTTATAATTGAACCCCATTTTATAATTTAGCTTCATATTTCTATCTTGCATGCCAAATCTCTCCCTTTTTTCTTATGATGTATAGTTGACATAAATCTCTCTTTAATATCATAGCTCCTGTGAGATTCCATAGGAGTTGAAATTTCTAACAACTAATTTAGGAGAAAAATTACTTTTGTCCCTGTTAAATATCTTTCCTACTCGTTTATGTTAGAGATGACTGTCTCATGAAAGTCTATGGTTGTGTTTCAGGTGTTAGTGAAATTTTGATCCACTTTACTTGTTACTACAACTTGTTTTTTTTTTTTAAATATGAGGCTCAGCCACCCTAGAGCGTAAGTGTCATGGTCTGTGAATATGCCATGGAGGTTTCTCAACCACTTAATGGGAAACAGAAAACTTCTTATCAATTATATAGATCTAAAGGAAAATGTGTTTCTAAGTTTAAATGATTTTCCATATTGACTGATCTCTTCAGCTTCTTTGTAATATGATTATTCTTACCAATTGCTTAGCAATGAATTATGTCGTTTTCTCCTTTAAATCTCTAAAATCTTGATTTTAATTAGTAGACAATCATCTACCTACTGAAGAATATTACAGGTATAACAATGCAGTAAATTCTCATAAATAATTGTCTTGCTTATCTTAGCGGTGTACAAAATATTTTCTAAAGTCATGTGTGCAGGGGCACCTGGGTGGCTCAGTCGTTAAGCATCTGTCTTCAGCTCAGGTCATGATCCCAGGGTCCTGGGATCGAGCCCTACATTGGGCTCCCTGCTCAGTGGAAAGCCTGCTTCTCCCTCTCCCACTTCCCCTGCTTGTGTTCCTTCTCTCGCTTTGTCTCTCTCTGTCAAATAAATAAATGAAATCTTTAAAAAAATAAAGTTATGTGTGCAAAATCAAAATGAACTGAGGGGGAACATCAGAAGACTTCATGACATAATATACCAATGTATTTATATGTTCCAAGGCCACGGATAAAAATAGGAAATTTTTACCAATAATATTATAATAGGTACTTCTAATACTTTGGATATAGTATACAACTTCATTTAACAGCTAAATAAACTTAGAGCTAACTCCAAGCAAGATAGACCATATAATCTAATGCTATATTTGACTTAAAACAATCAGATGGTCAATATATTTTTTAGGTTCTGCCTGGTCTCAGTCACTGTACACCCTTTCTTCTTCTCCCAACATCACCTTAACTCTCAACCCTATCCCCTCTCCATCTCGGCCAAGGGCTGTGGCTTATTTTCATCAGAAATAATGACTTACTGAGGTAGTAACTTTCAGTGGGGTTGCAGGAAAGGGGAAAGTCAATACCAAAAGGGTGTTAATCCAAGTTAAAATAAAAGAGTATGAATAGTTTAGACATCTCTACCCCCACACAACATGATGCGATGGTTGAGGATGCCTACACAAGAAGGTGTTTAAAGGGGTCTTGCTCCATACTCTGACACTCGGTGCCAGCTCACCCATGAACCTACCCTGGAAGCAGTTTCAAAAGCATGGTCTCTGAGCATGGTCTCTACCTCGGTTCCAAGTCCCCACTCTCCACCTTGGGTTCTGCTTTTCACTGGGCTCTGGCTGGTACCCAGTCACTTTCTTCTCAAGCCTTCATCTTCCATATATAGGTCTCTGCCAGGTCCCCGCTTGGCCCCTCCCTACAACTGTATCGTGTATGCATGCTGGCAGCACAAGATAGTATGTTAAAGCTGAGAAGGCCTTGAGAAATCATTGAATTTAATATCCTCCTTTCAGAGATGTGGAAACCAGGGATCAAAGCAGATTTTCCCACTTAAATACTAAAGGCATGGCTTGAGTATGACTCATCATTCAATATATTTTTCTTCTTCACTATGACTACTAGGGGTCCATTTTCTACAAATTAAGATATTCCTTACCCAGACTTACCCTGCCATATGTTTTCTCCCTCCTCGATGACCCTTCCTTCCTGTGTGTTATCTTGAGTCTTGTGCCACCAGCAGAGAGACTGCTTTCTTGCACACAATGCAGGTCCACATGTGGAATGAGGGATGGTCTGCATTCAGATTCCCACTTGCTAGAGAGTAACTGCTTATTCTTTTTCAATTCAGAGAACCTGAGGACTGTCTGACATCCTTTATGCAGACAGAAAAATGACATCTATCCTATAGAAATGCAGAATTAAGATACTGGTTTTGAAACCTGCTTCTATCTCTAGCTTTTCTGTCGCTTGGCCTGTTCCTTATGCATCTCCTGCTACCACCAGAATCAGTCACATCTGCTTTTGAAGTGGTCCTGGTGTGAAAGTCTGGAGCTGGAAAGGTTTTCTCCCACTGAAACATGTGAGGTGTAGTTGAAATAGTACTATTATTACCATCATTTAAGTCTATTTTACAGTAAATAGGCTTTTTTCCCCATTCTTTGCCAAGAACATAATCAGCAGATACACATAATTTCAATGGGAAAATATATTTTAAGATCCAGCAAAATTAATTTTTATCTCACATAATCCATTCAAAAGTTCACAGCTACCAGAACTTAGTATTTTAAAGTGGTCTGCATTTCTTGTTGTGGTGTTTATGGATGGTGTTTCAATATAACTGAATTTCTTCCCTTGATATTTTCTTGCTTAGCATTGAGAGTCAAGGGTTTATATATCAAGATGAGTAAGAGGTAACAATTCATTCTCAAATGTCTGTTAAAGCTTTTTCTTTTTTTCTTCTGGCTGGGTGAAAAAAATCGATCCTACATAATGTTAAAGCAAAAGGTAGAGTTAAAAGGTCAAGGTTCTGAACAAACTTCTCTAGGGACTGCCTGTTTGAGCTTGGGTTGGTTATTTCAGCTTTCCATGAATCAGATTCCACATCTACCAAATACCCTCAGTCCTTGTTTGCAAAATACAGAGAAGTCCTTGAGAAAATGCATTATGTGTTATAGTGCAGAATATGCTTACCTTTGAAAAGAGTGTGTTAAAGGGCTCATCGTCCACTTTTTGTGCACGTAAAATCAGCCCATGTTCTGGGGGATGCATAGACTGTCAGGGCTGCAAAGAAAGGATGTATTTAATACAGCAAAGGGTTTTGCTAACTAAATGTTGTGCACTGTAGTCAGGTTACTGAGGAAGAGGGGCTGAGGATCTTTTATGTAATAAATGTGTGAAATTCATCTTTCTTCAGTCAAAGAAATTGCTCTATCAGAAAGAGAAAAAAAAGAGAACATGTTCTATATGGGCATACTCCTTTTTAATAAAACCTTAGGGAAAGCTATTTGTTCCAGGTTGAGGTTAGGAGAAATATGACAGAAGTGAAAATATGAATTTGTTTTACAAATTTGTCCAGTATTTGGACACACAATGAATGACCCACCCAGGGGTCTATTTTTGCACAGGGCCACAAGGATTGGCGACTGTTTATAAGAGTGAGCAAAATGAACCGAGGAGAGTAATCATCAGGCAATTCAGACACAGATTGCAAGCATGGAGGAAAAGGGTGGGAACTTGCAGTTATGATGAGTAAAATCGCTGACTTTAGTCTTCAAGACTAAGTGTTAAATATGTGCTTGCTTTGTTAGGGATGAATCAGGCTGAACGACAATTGTCTGTGGTTGTGGTTATTGAGGAGAGAGCGTCAGTGTGTTATATGAGTGCCTGGCAAGTGTTCTCACCCTGTGTGAGCCTGAAAAAAAAAAAAAGTTCCCAATTACTGTTTCCATTGGCCAAGTCAGGTGATCATTCCTAGGGCATGAAAATCATGGCAGAAATTTATATAAATTACACAAGCACTGCAATACACATTATGCCACAATGTCATGTAAACTGTAATTAATATTAATATTATTGAACACAGAGAATGTTTAAAAAAGTGTGTTAAAAATGAGATTTCGAAGCTATATAATTAATAATTCTTTGATTTAGAGGAATAACAGGGAAATATCTCCAATGTAGAAAGACTATAACTTCTGACAGGTCAGCTCAGCAAGTCTGGACTAACAAACTATGCTAGGCGTAGCACGGTTCAGCCCATTATGAGGGATGAATTCATGGGAGAGGAATCAGCAAGGAAAGAGTGCTCTTCATGAAAAAGAGCAACAACAATAATAGGAGCATATTCAAGTAGTACATTGCAAGACCAGGATTATAAATCCTACAGGAATGTGGAAGAGAGATCATTCAAAATGAAAATGAAATGAAAGTTTGGATGGTCTATTTTATATTTGATCAGTTGGAAAGCAATATAGTATGACAGAAAATGAGCTACATAAGTTGTAGGAAATTCTGTCCTTTTCTTTGAGCTTCAGCTTCATCATTTCCAAGTTGGAATCACTTTAGTAAGAATAAATAATGCTCACTGACAATATATTCCATTCAGAATTTGAAACTAGACTTCAACCCAGGCTGTAAGCCATTATTTCATTTTTAATGTCTTAACTTTGTAATGTCTTACCTTAACGCCTTTCCTCATCAAATGAAAAATTATCAGATCAGAAGATAAGGTTCCAAATCTTAAGTTCTATGTCAATATTGATTGATTGAAGTCAGTGAAACCTAAAAACAAAACATAACTATCTCTTAAATTAACAACCATAAATGAATAAGTCAGTGCTTATGAACCTAGTAATTGTACAATTGCTGATGGAGTTATTCTTCAGAATGTAAATTAGAAATATCTATTATGTTCATATCTTTCAACTTAATAATTCCATTTCTAGTTATCTAAAGTATAATATTTAATGTAGAAAATCTATTCTTATAAAGGTGGTCACTTCATCCTTGATCAATAGAGCAAAGTATTAGATGCAACTAAATAAAAAAATAGAGAATTGATTAAGAAAATTGATGGAACACCGTGCAACTACTAAAACTGATAGTTATGAAGATTATTACAATGGCAACCCAAATGCCCATCTAAGTGAGAATAGATGAAAGAAGTGTGATATAGTCACGGTGTTCTACTATACAAAGTCATAATGAATGACGTAGAATGATAGACAGCATTATGAATAAGCCTTAGTAATGAGATTATTAAATGAAAAAAGTAGATTCCAAAAGATTACGTGCAGTATACTAAACTTTTATAAAGTCAGAAATAAAATACGTATTTTTTTAGGATCACATATAAGTATAATTTACAATTTATGTATGTATATACACACACAATAAATGTATATATGTATAATGTATATAATACATATGAAATGTACTTCATATATATGAAGTAAGGGAATAATAACAATAGAATTCTGAATGCCACTTCTGTGGGGGAAGGCAGCTGAGGGATGGGAAATACAGTGTGTGTTTAGGTTATTGTCAAGCTCACAGCTTTTGTGGGGATGGTGGTGAATTTCTGAGGGATTTTATAGTATTACAAATAAGTACATGCTTGAACCACTAATTAGAATGTTGTCACGAACCAAGGATTATGATTCCTGCAATTGTGTATATCTACAAGTCAAAGGGAGAAAAAGAAAAGGCACATTTTTAAAAAAAAATATATACTTTTTAAAGATTCATTAATAAAAAAGACTAGAAATTATAATAAACACAAAAAATGGTTGTGTTACTGTGGTAACTGTGTGATTTTTTTTCTTTTTCAAATTTTCTAAAATGTATTTTTTTAATGAGAACGACTGTTTATAACTCAAAAAACAGTATGCAGACCCATGGGTCTCTATGCCAGTAAACTTTTGCAAACATGAAGAAGGCAAATGAAATCATGTAAAATTGATCAGCATTTCAGCAGGCTGTTGACCAACCCCCATAGCTGGAGGACTTGAAGGAGTCACTATTGACTTTGCATTGATAACTAATTTAAGAATCAATCAAGAAAAAAGAAATGTGACTATTTGCAAGAGCACATGCCATATCTAATTTGTAATGAAAAGTTATATTACCTACTAGAAAAATCTCTATTTGGTATTGACCCAGAGAATGCAACTGTTGGGTTTCAAACATGAAAGTAGTATGACCAATATGCTCTCCTTTTCAGTTATTTCTGCAGAGGTTATATACAGAGGAATTTTAGATTAACATACATAACATGGACTTTGAGTCCATTAGTTGAATGTCGATGTGCAGAAAACCAATAGGAATAGGGGATGATTCCTAATACAAACAAACTGATTGGACACTTTGACAATGATGTTTGTAGAGCATGATATTGTTGCTGGTTGGATGTTAATGCACTAGGAGGCTCATTCAGCATCAGAAAAATATTACACCAAATTACGCTTTTATAAAGAGTTAGCTGTAAACCTTTGATTTACAAATATTTTAGACCATTTTCCACCTTCCCTTAAGCTTTTAAGATATAAGCCACATTATCATTTTAAAAATATAATGATAATTTTCATTATATTTGAAGAATACTAGATGAATTAGATGAGTGGCATACTTTGCAGCATTGTGTCATATATATTTTTCCTTGAATTTAGTGTTTTCTTTCTAGTACACCATCTGTAACACATATAAATCAGTAGATTTCACAGTGTGTTTATTCCAGTTTTATTTGCTGAGTAATTAAAAGAAAAAAAAATCTTGGGCAAGAAGTAGCTTTCAGAAAACAGTCTGTTTAGGGAATTTAAAGAATATTTTCCCTTTCTCTTCTCTTTTGTGCTATTTCTAATTGCAAAATAAAAACAAAAGTTGGAAGGTATTTTATGAAGTAATTATAATTTCTTACGAATCATATTTTACAATCAAAAGCATTTGGGTTTTCTCTTCTTGCTAGTTATTTAAAGTCTATGGCTTTCAATGACAGGTGTAGAAGGCTATGTGATAAAATAAAATCGATCTTCAGATTTGAAAGAAAAATAGCTGAGTCTGAATACTCATGCTGCCACCTTGAAAAAAAAATCACATAAAATCTCTGAATCTTATTTTCCTAATATGTGAGAAGATGAAAGCAGCCCAACATAGCTTACAAGATTCCTTGAAAAATAAATGGGAGATTTTATTCAAGTGAGCAAAATTCTTATGTTTTTTAATAATTGTTTGAGAATGAAGTTCTAAACATAAACAAAATAATTGTTTTAGAATAAAGAACATGAAACCAAACTCTCCTCTCGGGGACAAGGAGGACCAGGCTGTATGTAAGAAGACACATGGAAATCCCAGCGAACCCTTTCCTAAGGGATTAACAACAGTCTCTGCAGCTCAGGCACCCAGTGTGAGACAATGCCAAAACGGCCATGTTTTCCTGAGGATGAGCATGGCAGCGCTTGCTCTCTGCAGCTGGACTGAATTCAGGCTGGGGGCTCTGAAGTAAGCACCTACATACATGTGCTGTGGAGATTCTGGACAAGAGGTGTCACTGCGTCAGAAAGTAGAGAAGAAATGCGGCACAAGTGAGCTCTTGCAATATAAACACAGCATCTGGTCTAAGGCTTCTAGCATTGCTATGAATCATCAATATATGTATTTGTTTGTTGCATTTTAAAATTATTTAAATTATTCATGTTTGTGTAGAAGGAGAGATGCAAAAAATAAAAGCAAGCAGAAAAAAATTACCCATAATCCTACCACCATAACTGCTATTAGGTGTATTTCCACCAATAGCATAGAACCACTATTAGCATTTTGGACAATATTTTTATATGTTATTTTCAATGTGTATGGGTGAAATATATGTATCTTTAAAGTGGGATCATAGCGGGACATATTTTTTGGAAAACTACCTTTAGCATTTAGCAATATATTATCAACATGCTACATATTGATCAATATAGATTGACACCATCATTTGTAATGATTGAGTAGAATTCCATTTTAAGGATGTATGAGTTATTCAAGTAATAACCTATAGCTGTACATTTAAATTATTTTCAGCTTTGCCACATTATAAATAATATTTTTGATACATATCTTCACATTTCTATCTTTATGAATCTATCTGATTATTGAAAAAATTCTTGGAAGTGGAATTGCTGAATTAAATACATTACTTCCAGTTACACTGTAGAAAGTTTCTACTAATTTTACTCCTGCCAACAATCTGTGAGAGCCCATCTCTTTTCAGTGAACCATACGGGGCATTTTCCTACTTTAACTCTTTGACAGTCTGATAACTGATGAGAAGAGAGAGGATATCTAGTCTTTCATTCATGGTTATGATTACCAGTAAGATGAAATATTTTTCATCATATCATTTGTATTTCTGATTTTTGTACCTTGCCTGTTACATGTTATTTTTATTACCAGTTTGTAAGATTTCTACATCTTAGACATTAATCCCTTTTTGTCACACATAGTTTTATTTTTCCTTGTCTGTCATTTGCTTTTTCACTTGGATTGTGGTACTTTTCCCCAGACAGATGTCTTAAAATATTTGTCTTTCAATTTTTGCCTTGAGTCTTCACTGAAAGGGCTTTCTTCACCTGTATATATGCACTTGTATTTTCTTCTAGTAGTTTTAAATTTTATTATGTACTTATATTCAATCCATTTGGAGAATTAATTTTATTTTAAGGTGTGGGTTAGGGCTTTAAATTTATCCTTGCCAAGTGGTTAACTGGATGCCACAACCATTTTTATCAAATTGTACATATTTTCCTCACCAATTTTAACTGTCGCCTTTACTATACAGTCGTCTCCCTTAACCAAAGTTTCACTTTCCAGTTTGTTACCCGTGGTCAACTGCAGTCCAGAAGTAGATGGTCCTCCTTTTGACCTATAGTCAGAAAGTCAATAGTAGCCTAATGCTATGTCCCAGTGCCTACGTCATTCACCTCACTTCATTTCATCATGTAGGCATTTTATCATCTCATGCCATCACAAGAAGGATGACGACCATACAATAAGATATTTTGAGAGAGAAAGACCACACATTCGCATAACTTTTATTATACTATATTATTATAATTGTTCTATTTTATTATTAGATATTGCTGTTAATCTCTTACTGTACCTAATTTCTAAAGTAAACTTCATCATAGGTATGTATGTATAGGAGAAAAACCATAAAATGTATTAAAGAGTATATACAATATACTTATATATGTTACACATAGGGTTACACATAGCATATATAGGGTTCAGTAGGATTACCCATAATCCTACCACCACTAGCACTATTAGCTATATTTCCACTCTTAGCTATAGTACCACTGTTAGCATATAACCACCAGCAGCATTTAGCTACTATACTGAACAGTTTAGGGCTAGAAAATTCTACATCATCAGGACTTAGACAATAATTAAAGCTTTTCTAGTGGTGCAGCTGGTCCAAGTAGAGTTACAGATGGACATAAAAAGATGGCTTGTAACAAAATACAAAGAAAGAACTGGGAGTTAAGAAATGCCAAGGAAGAGGAGCTGGCAAAAAAGACTAAGAGAGAATAGCTTAAGAAGTAGGACAAAAGGGGAGAACATCTGAGATTTGGAAGACCAAAAAAGAGGGTTTTGAGGAGAAGGACTATTGTTTTTAAGTTAGAGAATTCTGCTAACTTATCAAGTTGTGTCTTCAAGGAAAAGTTGGATAACACTAAAAACACTAGCACTAAAGAAGTAATGATAATTGTTTTAAATTGAGTATCTAACAAATTCAGAGTCTAAGAAGAATTTTAACTTTTATACTTTTAATTAATTTCAAATACTTAGCCTTTACCTACAGTTTTTTATCTAAGCATAAAACTTCCTATTTCATTTTGTAATAGAATAGAGTCATCCTTTACACCTTGAGTTTTCCACATTCCACATCTAAATATAACAAAATCTTACAGTTTACAACTTTGAAATCTCTCCTTACAAGTCATCTCCTGCCATCTGGTCCAAGCCACCATCACCTACTGCTTGGGATGATATAACAGCCTCTGGAACTGGGTTCTGGGATTTCACCCAACCCTCCAGTCCATATTTCCCTGAGTCGGTGTGATCCTTTTACAAAATAAATCAGTCCCTATCATTCCTCTGCTGAAAACCCTTGGATGGCTTCCCGTCTCTCTCAGAGTAAAAGGAAGAGTATGTAAAATTTTCCTGCAAGTCTCCATGATCTGACCATCTGCTGCCTCATAGATGGCATCTCCTACAGCAATTTCTCCCTTACCCAATTCAGCCATCCTAACAATCCTTGAACCTACCAGTCAGTTTCCAACCTCTGGGCTCCCTCCTTCACTTCCTTCAAATTTCTGCTCAAATATCACTGTACCAAGAAAACCTTTTCTGGCCTGTTAAAGGAGCAGCCTCCTTTTCCTTGCTCTATAAACCCTTATCCTGTTTAATTTTTCTCTATGGCATTTCTCACCATCTGTCATCTTTTGTATTATGTTGTATTGCATTCCATTCTATTCTATTCTATTCTATTCTATTCTATTCTTCATTCTCTAATCTCTCCTCTCACTAGAATGTGAGTCCCATGAGGGCATGATCTTTCTTTGGTTCCCTGCTGGATCCTGAGAGCCAAGAACGGTGCCAGCACTTAGTAACTACTGGCCTGAATGAATGAACATATATCCAGATATTTAAAAAATCACCATAAACCTTCTACATCATTGCTGGCATTAAAAGTAATGTTTCCAATTTTGAAATCTTTCAGAAAGGGTTTCTTCTCCCCAACAGAAGATTCAATTTCATGCTTTGAAAGATTAAATGAAAGGGAATTTGAGTTATGATGACAGAATTTTGGAATATCATAATTTCAAGACTTTTTTTTTTTACTGATACAACTTTATTGTGATAATTGAGAATAAAAGTATTTCTTGAAAGGTCATATGGCATAAAAATGAGAAGTTTAACACTTTGGAGACTTTATAGCAAGATAATCTGGTCTTGGGAGATTTACTTCCCAGCTGCGTAACTTTGGTACCCCTCTATGCCTCAGTTTTCTCCTCTGTAAAACAAGGTCAATATTGTACCCTTTATAATGCTATCATGAGGATCAAATGATTTTGATTATATAAAGGGATTAAAAACAGTGCTTTGAACATAGTGCCTCACAAGAATTTGCTATTATTATTTATTTGATATTCGTATTATCACTTCACAAGTGGTTGCTCTTAGTTGTCAGACTTTTTTGGATTTTGTTTATTTTTCTCTGTAATGATTCCATGAAAAAATCTCTTTCGTAGGAGAAATCTAGGCAGTGTTAATTGTGTAGGTACAAAAATGGATAAGAGCGTTATGGCAATTTCCAGTCATCTGCATAAACTCTCTTTTTTTTTTTTTACTTGTGGAATTCAAACAAACTTTCTGGCCCTTACATTTTGCAAATGAATTTCTGCCTTATTTGCATGGGTAAAGTCAAAGGGGAAATAAGGTGGAATCAGCAAGGGATTCCATCATAGAATGAAATTCTAAAAGCAAGTTTTCTTGTGCCCAGAAAAGGTGATTTAGAAGAGTAAGGAGCTCCAACTTTGAGACTGAGTGGGGAAAGTCCAAAATCACACACCCTGGCTCTATGAAAAAGTCAGGTCCTTAAATATTTGTCCTCCTCAGATAAATCTGACTTAAACTATTCAGCCATACTTTTACTTCTAGACTCTAACTCCAATGATCATTTTTTTTTTTTTAGTCTTCCAAAATACCTAGAAATTTTATTTATTACAGTTGGTAAATCTACTGGAATGATGATATTAACAGTCATAACTGATATTGAACCATGGTTTTTAATTTTGCATAACCTGTGTTTATATGTATTTATCATCTTATTTGACTGTAATCTTTATAAAATTAGGTCTTTCATTTCCTTAGTAATTTCCCAAAAAGTCAAGAGCAGTGCTCAGGAAACAATATTATTGGTGGAGATCCAACAATCAAACGGAATTTTAAGGACATCATGTCTTCTCTTTCAAATATTATTGCTTTTGAAGAATATAATCTGTTATTTAAAAGTAAATTTTAACAAGGAAAACATTCCTGTTGCAAATGTAAAACATCTGACATGATTTTTTGAACAATAGTGAACACAACAAAAAGTTGATTTCTCTTCTGCCATGACCCGAGGCCTGTTTATTAGCTGTTCACTGCCTAAATGTCTCTGCTTAAAACCCAGGAACAATCAAGACTTGATATTCAATTTAACTGAGCAAAATATTCATTTTCGGTATTGAAAATACAAAAGAATTATATGAAATTATTTTCCTCCAACTCTGCCCCAGGGTTTACAATCCTGTCAGACACAAGTCATATCAATGGGAAATGGCATCTAATGAAATGCTGAAACAACAGCACTCACAGAGCCAAGAGATCAGAGAAGGAAGTCATCACTTTGTGATCTTCTCAGGGAGAAAGCGGGGCCTCAGCTAAAACCTAAAAGGTATGTAGAGTTTGGAGAAGGAGATGGGAGAAAAGACGCTTACAGTTCTTGCTTTGGAAACTTCATATTTTTTTTATCATTGGCCAGGACACATTTACAGATGATCTATTGAATTGGAAAAAAGATCTTGTCCATCTTTGAAGTCTTTGTATCTCCCGAATCTACTGAAAGGTGACTCAGAGTCTTCATAAACAAAGTCTGAGACAAAAATCTCGTGAAATTATATAAAATTGTTCCTGATTTTTTTTTCTTTTTTTAAATACTGAAGGATTTGTTTTGCAGAGAGAGAGGCATTAAGCAGAGGGAGAAGTAAAACATATCCCCAACATTTATCATAATAGAATCTAGTATCTTTTATTTTGTCACTTACACCCTGGGGAAATACACTACAAACTCCATTTTTACCTGCTCAAGTCCTTCTTTTTTGTAGAAAAATTAGCATTAAAAATATCCTTAGTTAAAGTCATCATATCAATGTAAGTTATAACAAACTGAATGAAATAAAAAGCAATTGATCATTTTTATTATTTGCAAAATGTTTAATTGTGATTTTTCTGAAAAAGAAACTAACCACTACCACTGCTACCACAACAGAATTATTTACAGGATCTAATAATGTGGGGGGCAATAGATTAAAGGAGATGGGGAAAGAGAAAAGGCAATTCTGTTAGAGAATCAAACAATAATAAATAGTAAATACAATAATACAATAATAAATAGCACTATTGTTATAACATTTAGCATTATTTTATTCTAATTTTAATATGTGTCACCCTATAAAAATCCTGCCTCTTAACTTTAAAAGAAAGCTATTGATCCAAGATATTTCAAGGGATTTCGGGGAAAGAGAATGAGGGAGATACAGGGATTGGGAGAAATTTATAGCTGGAGCTGATAGTGAGTGAAAATTTAGAGTACATACCTAGCATGTTTTGTGCTTCCTTTCTTCCAGAGAGGAAATGACACTTTAGATTCCCCGGGATGCTGGAACCACATGCAAAAAAGGATGGGCAAATTTGTCATTCAGAATTTATGAAGGATATTTTTTCTTCTCACTGACTAAAAAGAACAAATCAAACACTAGGTTTCCAATTCTGAAAATTAGTAGACTCTGGAGAGCCAATTAAACATTATTCCCCTATCTCGACTCTGTTTTAACATCCTTCTTTATTGCACACTGTTTCTTTCGCTCACAAGGCAGGTAGATGGTGTTATCAGGCTAATTTGGGGACAGTTATCATTATAATGTAATTTTTTGCAATTATGTGGTAGACCAGGTGGCAAGACAGCATGGCTTTGCATTGCCAAGGTGCAAAACAAATTCAGTGTTCAATCAACCTGAGAGAGAAAGGACAATTCTCATTTGCATAAACATGTAGCCACGGAAACGAGATGCACAGAGGTATAAGGGGAAAGAGACCTATTTTACATGATGTGCATAGAATATTTGACAGTTTAGATTGGAGGCGTCACTGATGTGGGTTGGAATGGTACGGTTGGTTGCCATGGATATGGTTTTCCCTACTGGCAGTGCAGAGATTGGCAGGGATGGATGCTGGAAAAAAAAAAAAAAAGCCCAAACCACTGCAACACTCGGGCAGCCTCATTCTTTTCTTTTGTTGAAAAGCTATGTATCCTTTCTGCACTAATGACAGCTCATCAAGTATGCAGTGTAATCTAGAAACACTGATATTTCTGTAATAAATCATTCATGTATAATATATATGTATTTATACATTCTATGCACATATATATGTGGCAATCTACATGTATATATTTGGAATAACATGTATGCAGATTAATAAAAGATTAGATTCAGGAGGAAAATATTTACCTCTTTGCTATTCTTTTCCTATTTTGCGTTAATTTAGGAAATCCTTAGATATGAGGATTTATTAAATAAAGTAAACAATGTATAAATATACTGAATTATCTGAATTATCATCTAACTTTGGAAAAGAGAATTGCACAGTTTGTTTTCATGGATAAAGCAAACAATGAAAGGAAGGAGGAGTGGCTCATCGCAATGGCCTACTCTCTGATTATTAGACCCCTACAGTCACCACATTGCTGTAATATAACTACACAAATGATATTTGTCCATGAAAAACAAGGTAGTTTCTATTTTCTTTATAGCTTCTAGCACAACATTTAGCATCGTATAAACCCAAATAAGCTATTTATGCTGTTTTTCAGAACAGTTAGGCATTTACTTTTTATTTCTAAAGGCTCACCCATCTTGTTTCCATACAGTTAGTCCGGAGCCTTGCTTTTATTAAAAGGATCACAGGAATGCCTTTTGTCTTCAAGAATTTATTCACTAACATACTATGTGATGGGGTCTGATGGAGCGAAGTCTCTTATCCTGCAGGGTAAGAACTTTTGTCTCCATGAATGCAGCTTTGCACTCAGCCATACACCTGAGATCTGAATGCTGGTAGACAAGTTCTTATGGACTTGTGGGTTTCCTCAAACCTCCTCCCAGACTGGGGAGGAATGCTGAGTGACACAGCATCTTCTAAACTGTCCACTCAAACATTGGAAACTGGAGAAAGAGATGGGAACAGGATTTATTGTACAATCAAAGTATCAGGATCACTTTTGAAACATGACCAGATCGTTTGCCCTTAATAATTGACTTAATAATATAATAATTGATCCATACAGCCAAAACTTGATGGATAATTACCAGTGAACTGATATGCATTTGGATTAAGATTTAAGAGAATGTGTAATTGAAAGAGCAATTAAAATGTTTTTCTCTCACCTTATAAAAAAGGTCTTTTAAATGGGCCAATGAAGAAAATCTGCCTTGATACTACATAATTCTGTCTTCACTTAACATTTTGGGTGAAGATCTGTTATTTGTTGATAAAGCATATGAAAGGCACTGATTATTTTTGCTCTTTCATTTTTTTAAATGAAGCCTACTAGTGGGTCAGTTTCTCTAAGAACCCTCACTCCACCCCAGCCATCCTTGTTCTCAGCTTTCCCTAGAAACCACTCAACAATTGCTAGTATCCTTTCCATGATAAACAAGTCAGTGACCCCTTTCTCAAGGTGAAAATCGGCTGTAATCATATTGTTTTCAGTTGCATTATCCTTATTAGTTGATTATTACCTATGCTTCTTAGAGTGATGAGCTCTTATTTATTCCCTAAATCTATTTGTTTCCAGTGCATGTGGACATTAACAAATATTTGTTGCCCAAAAAATAAAAGTTAGTAATTGCTTTAATCTCTGCATTTTATTGTTCCCTACGTTTTAAAGAAATGAAATAGGACCTCGAAATTCTATCCAGATGATAAGTTTATCATATAAGAATGAGGTTCAAATGACTAAAAAATGAATGAGTACACATTTTAATACAGTAAATTAGCATAATGCACAGGATCAGCTTAGCTACATACCATTTCATTACATGTAAACATTCCTGTCCAGGTATTCCTCTCACCTATACTTTATTGTCTTACGTATTTTGGCTTATTTTCTATAACACCCTGCGTTCTTTTCTATTTTTCTTTCCCACTCCTATGCTTCCTATCTGTGCATTACTCCTCCATTTGTACCTGATGTGAAAGATGCTATATTGAAGAAAAGTCAAGTGATGGTGGGGCATGTTCACCACTGCCCACATATTTTGGAGACACTGGCAAGATCCTAGCATGTTTCTCTATTTGTATAAAATATTTATATGCTACAGCACCGAGCCCCTCACACGTCATTGCAGAGGTGAACGAGTGAGCGGGGATGTATCATGCACCGAAATAAAAGTTTTTAAAACCCTGTTTCTATTTCAAGGACATGAAATTGCTTGCTCATCATTAAAAATCAGTTTTTAGTCTTATAGGAATAAAGAAATACGAATGTGGTGATTTTATGAGCGAAGACCTGATTATCTCATGCTGTGTGTGTGATTCCTCAATGGTCAGAAGGGGAGTTCTGGAGAGGTCTACTTTTCTTGGGCAAGTGTACACTTGCCTCAATCTCACTCATAAACCAGGAAACAGTCACATGCACTGGGCCTTAAATGTGTTCATTTTAAACCAGGCAGGAGGCCTGACTCACATACTAAATTTTCAGTATTAGCATCTCCAAATCTTTATCATTGTATATACAGATTGATTCATTTTCAGACTCTGGTAACTGGTTCAATGTTAAATCGTTTTAAAGCTTTTGCTGAATACTTTATTTTCTGACTTTTATGTTGTTACAACATACAATTTTACTTAGTTTTAGTCCCTTCCATAAAAGAAAAATGTTAAGTTTTACGTTTTGCATCATGGGTTCACTTTTTTCCCCCTGAAAATAAACATTTTCTCAGACCCGTTCAAAATATAGGCAGTATTTCTTCCAGGAAAGAAAAAAAAGGCAGCAAACTGATTACTTGTTGTGATCAAGCTTATTAAAACAGAGACAGAAAACCAGAATTCACTTCCTAGATCTGTCATTTGGTGATTAAAGCGGGGGGGGGAGGTTCTTTTTCTTGTCTTACTTTCCTCATTTGTAAAGTAACACCCTCTGATCTTCATAAGCACATTTGACACAGTAAAACAAGTCAGTTATGATTCCCAAATTCAGTGTGATGAGGAGCAGTGACTGATTTTCCTTGTTTTCCCTAATTTTTCCTTGATTTCCCTAACTGCAGCCTCTGGTGGGACATATGCCCAGTTGGCCATGACAGAGCTGGTTTCTGACACAGGACAGGTTGGTGGCCAGATCTGACGACATAAGTTGCTGACTTGGACTAAACGTTAATCAATATAAAGCTTTGACAGCTAATGATGCATTATGACCAATCTTCAGAATAACTGAGTAACTGATTATTGATGTCATAGAAGTTCTTGGAGAAAGTATTACCTATACTGATGTGCACTTTATATCTCATCTTCTTCATCTCTCAGTGAAATTAAAGATCCTTTTATCTTCTATTTAAATCCATCCCCTTCCTTAGGATGGCATAAGCGTTGGTATAATAAAGCATAGAAACTATATTTGTTATGTGAAAGGTACTAAAATTCCTGACGTAGCATGCATCTCATGATGATGATATTTCTTTCATTCTGATAAAATTATACAGATATTAAATTTTCACTCACAAATTTGTCTATCTGCCATCTACACTTAACATGACCCCCCGCAACCCTGCCATCAATTTTGTTTCCCTTTTAGACTTCTTCTAAAGAGTTAATAGGGGGAAAAAATACAAAACTTTTAGATCTCAGAGTTACTGGATAGTGTTTCCTTATCTGGAAGAGAAAAAGCACTTTCATTCAGGGCTAACCTCAAATTTTTATGTTTCTGGTCTTCAAAATGCCACGTGTCATTTTCTCACCATACCACTATTCCGTGTCACCCATGATGACATCAAACCATGTGCCAATATGCACTTACCCTTATCCAGCCAGCTCAAAAGGATGATGCCCTTCACCATTCAAATTAAATCTGAACCCTGGGTCACTGCTCCTAAGCCACTATTCATCAATTTTTTCATGGTGTCATGTCGCCATGCGGTGGCTTTTTCGAATGTCCTTATCTCTATCATTAATTTTACCTTCTGATGTAGTAGTACTGAATGATATGATTTACAACTTAATAAAATGAGTTTTTAAAACATTAGATAAACTAGTAAATCAATTTTTGTAAGAGTCAGCATTCTAGGGTTTGGAAGGTAGACTTCATTTACCTCCTTTGCCTGATTTCATCTCAGGCGAACTGAATAGCATAAAACAATACAGTAAACAATGCAGTCATGCATAATACATAGCAGTTGAATTCAATTTTAGTGGTTCTCCTAATGGTGTCCAGATGAGAACAGGGTGGGAATGGAAGTGTTGACAGGTGTTCTGAGACATCTCCTTGACTTTGAAATCTTACTTTCTTAGTTTTTTAACCTTTATGCCTGAGTATAAAATTTATCTCTGTGGACACAATCCTTAAGGGGAGGGTAATTGTTTTTCACTGCTTGGAATGCCAACTTTAAA